TGTATATTGCTAAGTTTTCCTTTATTCACAGCATTTTTAAGACTGACATTTTGCATTGGGATTCTTTAGAAATACTGCTGAAACAAGAACAATGAACTGGAAGCACATGAATTGATTGCCTTTATGCCCTCCATTTCATAGTCATACAAAATAACAGTTTACAAAATAAAATCTGAGATAAAAATTCAAGATTAAACCAGTTAATAATGTTTAAAATTATTCTCACCTGAGAGAGATTGTGGACAGATTTCCATGGAAAGCTCTTTCAAGAGAGGAATCTTCACTTAGCCGCATCTACAGTTCAGCTCTGCATTAGAGGTGTATCTACATTATAGAATTAATTCACCTTGACACCCCTTTAACTACCATGGTAGTTAAACCCCCTTTAATCCCCGGTGGCACAGTGGGTTAAACTCCTGTGCCGGCAGGACTGAAGACCAACAGGTTACAGGTTCAAATCCGGGGAGAGAGCGGATGAGCTCCCTCTATCAGCTCCAGCTCCCCATGTGGGGACATGAGAGAAGCCTCTCACAAGGATGGTAAAACATCAAAAAAAACATCCAGGCATCCCCTGGGCAACATCCTTGCAGATGGCCAATTCTCTCACACCAGAAGTGACTTGCAGTTTCTCAAGTCGCTCCTGGCATGACAAAAAAAAGTGCTATGAAATTCTGAGTGTTGGTTTTTGTTGATGCACCAACACTCTTTGACAGAAACTGTAATTCCACTGACTCCACAGCACTGAACCATGACGGTTAAAGTGGGGCAAAGGAAACATTGGGGGCTACTCAAGAGTTTGCTTGAAACTCCAGAGTAAATGCCCAGCTCTGAGGCAGTGTGGATAGCAGAACTAGATCCAATTCAGACAGGTCTTCTGTCTACATGGGGCATTGGCACAATCGTCTTATCCCTGCACTCATCAGCACAGGAAAAAGGAGAACGATTGTGTCTGTGTCACTGCCATCACTGCGCCTCGATGGCTGCAGAGCTCTGTCAACTCCTGGTCATTGTGAGCACCCTGCACCAATAGCAGCATGTATGTCCACAAAACCAGGAAAAGGGTGGGGAGACTGGCTCCAACATACTTCCAGGTCAGGCAGGCACCTTTGCTGATTTCGGCATTGGATGCTCATAATGGCCAGGAACTCACATGAAGCTCTGTGGTGTTTGAGTGCCTCAAACAGTGAGGTGATGATTGGAGAGGCCAAGGCAGTGTAGGCCTGACTTTCCTTTTAGATGACAACCCAACACTACAATGGTTTCAGGAAGCTGCATGTGGTCACCTTCAAGGCCAGTCAAAAGCATTTCTACTCTGGACTGACCTCAGACTTGTCAGCCAGTGTAGACATGATCTAAGCCAAAGTCCCTCTTTTCTAGATTTAATAGCCCACCTTCATGCAGCAACTGAATGTGTAGTACAACTATACATCCCTCATTCACGGTTGCAGTATAACCAAGCATCACAGAGTGTTGTGACTTTAGAATCAGTTATTGAGATGCCAAAAGCACATCAGCATTCACAAAATGTCAAGTTTCCTTCTGGGCTTTGCTGTAATATTCACAGCACTGAATGAAAATGGGTTTTCCCAGCAACAATATATTGTGGTGAGCTGGAGGTATGTGAGTGTATAATGTAGCTTCCAGAGCCTACATCCAACCAATTATGGACTTTCCTATCCTTTTGATCTTGCTCCTCCCAGTCACACACACACACACACACACACACACACACACACACACACAAACACACACTTCTTAGCCCCAGTTAAGGTTGCTCTTTAAAGAGTATAGTTGGTAATTTCACCACATTTTCTGTCCAGTTGGGTATGTGGTGTCCCACATACTAATGGAATTAACTTTCAGAAGTGACAGGAAGTGATCTGGGGCCAAAAATATGGGTGGGAGAGTTCCCAATCTTCAACCGTAGATTGTGAAGGATATAATGTGGGCTGTCCTTTGCAAGGCTTTGAGGTATGTAACTATGGATCAACACCAATATCTCCATTGTCTGGACTCTTTTTGTGGATAAATTGGTGAGAACTACATTTATGAGTGCCCCCACTTATTTAACACCTCGGTTTTTATATGTTCTTCCATGGCACAAGGAAATTCAAATGAACTTATTTACTTATTTTATTTATTTACAGCATTTTTATCCAGCTCTTTTCAGCCTGAAGACAACTCAGGGCGGCATACAGATTGGTAACAATTAGATGCCATAAACATACATACATACATACATATCAATTAAAAACATTTAATATCACATAATAAAAATCCATATAAAAACCAATTAAAACTATAATAATTAATGTCTACCAGTTTGACTCCTGATCCATTCTTTGTCACTGCCGTTTCTTTGCTTGCCTTTATTGGATTTGCAGCTCACCGTTTTATTATGTTATGGTGTTTAGTGTGCAGAAATCAAATTCAGGTGCCATTGTGCATAGGGAATGTTGCAAAAGCATTTTGGCCATAATGCAGCCTATGACCTAGCACACCTCTAAATGTATATGGGAGGGAGGTCAGTGGGGAAAAGAGTTTGCTGAAGGGAACTGTGCATGGTGCAGTTGCTCATATCAGAGTGGAAGATAATGCGAAGCACTGGAACATACCAAAACCACAGGTACAAATCCTCACAAGATGCTGAAATGTATAGTTTAATTTACTAATAGTATATAATGTAAAGCACCCCAGTGATCCCACATACAGAAATGTGATCAATCTAATTTAACAGTAAATGCCATCAATGATTTTTCAGAAGGAAATCCTACTGTATTCAGTGGGTAAGTGTGCTTGGGCAGCAACCTTTTGGGGAACTTCACATTTGTGAGTCATCCCATTGATTTAAATGAGAATGAAATCCAACTAACTTGCAACATAACATTACCGCCTTTACTACAAAGCCAGCATTTAGGAGGCAACCTTGATCCAGATCCCCCCAAATTCAAGAAACAGTTGGTCAATGCTCTTCTAAATAAAATGTTAACTTTTCTGTTTGACAACAAACTCTAATGGGAAATTGGAAGCTTTATTTTCTCACCAAGTACCATGGAATGGTTTTTGAGAAATTGATTTTATCTTGAAATATTCAGAGAATGAAACCGGCTGGCCAAGTAGTTTGAGCCACATGTTGCCATCCAGCACAGCTGGAGGGAGCTGACACAGAGAAGGCTAGTTTACCATCTGATCCTTTGCATTTTGTTGGTTCCCTATGAATGCAGTGCTGCTAGCTGTGCTTCTCAGTAACTTTATTGAAGTCTACAGATTGAGTCACTTTTTGCTCACCAGCATCTGCTCCCATGAGGTGTGAAAATGGTTTTGGCAGCTCCTGCTGCTTTCCCGAGAGCATGCTCACTCAGCCAGCTACAATAAACCCCTTTGCTTCTCCAAAAGCCTCTTTCCAGCCTAGTGACCATTGTTCCTCTTCCATCTGCTGCTGTCTGCCTGCCACCATATCTTGTAGCAGCTGCTATATTCTAGTTTTGCCGTTTTCTGTGCCATTTTGCAGGATTAGACAGGATTTAACAAACACTCTGTCTTATTTCTTTAAAAGTCACCTGGCAATTCGATTTCCTTAGTGATCCAATTTATAATATGAATATCTCAGGAGATCAAGTTTGTGATACCGGCACTTGCCTTTTGAAAAAAGGAATCCTCTGCATGTGCTTCACTGTTGCTTTCCAAATATTACTTTTAAAAAGTTATCTATTTTGGAGTTTTTTTAACATACAGTTTATGCAAGAATCAGGGTGGTGTAGTGATTTGAATGTTTAAGCACAACTTTGGAGACTGCTCAGACATGAAACTGACTGGGTGACCCTGGGCAAATCACACTCTCTCAGCCCCAGAAAACTCTGTAGTAGGCACACTCTATGGCTGCCTTTAGTTGCAAAGAAGGTTCACAACAACACAAATGCGTATTAAACAGTCTCAGATACGAGTAAATCTGAGTATTCTGTGTTTATATCAGGAGAAATCATTTCATGAGCCCTTTAAGCATCCGCAAATCAACTGTGCTGTAATTCATTCCAAACCTTTCTATGAATTCTAGACAACATTCAAATCACTAGACTCAAAGCAGACCATTTTTTTCATGTCAGGAGTGACTTGAGAAACTGCAAGTCACATCTGGTATAATAGAATTGGCTGTCTGCAAGGATGCTGCCCAGGGGACACCCAGATGTTTTGATGTTTTACCATCCTTGTGGAAGGTTTCTCTCATGTCCCTTCATGGGGAGCTGGAGCTGACAGAGGGAGCTCATCCACACTCTCCCCGGATTCAAACCTCCAAACTGTCAGTCTTCAGTGCTGCTGGCACAAGGATTTAACCCATTGCACCACTGGGGCCTCCTATAATCATAAATAATACTCTGCTTCTTAAATGTCCCCAGCCCATCTATCCTCCCACATGCCTATTTCTTCCCCCAGTTGCTTTTTAAAAGTGAAGATATTGACCTTTTTTCATGAACCGTGATCTCTTGTCCATGTGGTTTATTTAAGGTGAGGTGTGACGTCTTGGAGACACTTGTCATGCACAAAGGCAAACTCTGCTGGTAAAGAGATTGGTGTTTGGAACCCCAGATTGCCCTTTTGGCTGCCTTTACACAACCTACACGGCAATATGTTTTTCACACATCCCACTTCTCAGGTGGAACTTTTACCTATATGACATCTCATCTGTTCCATTTTCCTTTTGTCTGTGACAACACTGGGCTTTTTTTATTTTTCAAAAAGTAGGAGGGAAACCAAACAGAGAGCTCAGCTGCCCTAAAAGGAAAGAGGAAACGGGTGCACTAAAGTATCTGCCAGTGAGTTCTGCATTCAGACTATGATGTGTCTTCCTGTTCCTATTGCATTGTGAATTTCCACCTGCGTCTTTCCACTGCCACCGCTCATTTAGCATGCAGCGCACGCTGGACTGAAGGGCTCCTCAAACTCTCTCTGGCAAATGAGTTGCAGGCAGTGGGCAGTCATGCTGGTTCTCCTTTTCTCTCCAGCTCACTCAGTTTGAAAGAACTTTGGCTGGATACCATTCACTGGTAAGTTTGTAACATGAGATTGTGTGAAAGTTTAGTAGCTGCTATAGACTGTACTAGTAAGGGTTTTTTATGACAAAGCATCCACTGCTCAATGTAACTGTCCTGTACAGCATGTGGAGACTATTTGTAGTTTAGCATTATCCATTGAACTTTACCCAAGTATAGGGTTTGATTTATTTTTATAATGTCAGGAACATTTGTACATTCGTAGCATGTATTCATAGCTTATTTTCATTGTAGGTTTCCAACATTTTGCAGTCACTATTCTTTTAACTGGGATGATTGATTATGTTTATGCAATGCTGTAAAGAAAACACTTGTGCTTGGGATATCTTTTAGTGCATATTTAAGGCTTGGAAATTATATTTCCCTCAAAGACTTGAAGACAGAAATTGCTGTTTATGCTACATACTGTGTTGTGCCAACTTTTGTCCCCTCTGAATAGTGTTGTGCTGTTTTAAAAACCAGAGACAATTAGTCTGTGTGGGGACTTTAAAAAGTGAATCTTTTGTATTGTCAATGGCTTTCATGGCTGGAATCACTGGGTTGTTGTGAGTTTTCCAAACTGTATGGCCATGTTCCTGAAGCATTTTGCCTGGCATCATCAGAGGTTGTGAGGTCTGTTAGAAACTATGCAAATAGGGTTTATATATCTGTGGAATATCCAGGGTGGGAGAAAGAACTGTTGTCTGTTTGAGGTAGGCATGAATGTTTCAATTGGCCAGCTTGATTAGCATTTAATGGCCTAGCAGTTTCAAGATCTGGCTTCTTACTGCCTTGGGGAATCCTTTGTTGGGAGGTGATTAGCTGTCCCTGATTGTTTCCTGTCTGAAATACCTCTGTTTTTCAGTGTTGTTCTTTATTTACTGTTATGATTTCAATGCTGTTCTTTATTTACTGTTAAGGTTTGGCGGCCAGATTTTGTTAATTTTCATGGTTTCTCCTTTTTTGTTGAAATTGTCCACATGCTTGTGGATTTCAATGGCTCTCTGTGTAGCCTGACAGGGTAGTTGTTAGAGTGGTCCAGCATTTCTGTGTTCTCAGATAATATGCTGTGTCCAGGGTGGTTCATCAGGTGCTCTGCTATGGCTGACTTCTCTGGTTGAATTAGTCTGCAGTGCCTTTCATGTTCCTTGATTTGTGTTTGGGTGCTGCGTTTGGTGGTCCCTATGAAGACTATGTAGAATCCTTTGTCTCGCAAATTAAGTATCTTGTATTTATACATCTTGACTTGCCACAAAGAAAACTGAAGCTTTTGTTAGATCTTGTTAACATTTGTCTCATAATTCTTAACCAGGCAAACTAGAGAAATCAAAGGCGCAAAAATCACAAAAGTTGCATCAATTAAATTCCTGATGAAGGTGTTAAGCAGTTGCAATGCAGTGAGTATTATTTTTTTTCCCCCTTCCTTAGTATCTGGACACTGTAATATAACAAAGAACTGCCGTGGATTCTAACTATGGACTGCATTTGTTATATTTTGTTTTGCAGCCCAAAACCTTAGATGTGAGTGATATGGAGACTTTGATTGGATGCCAGTCAGAGGTAAGCAAACTCCAAGTACATGGTTGATTCTTTGTTCCTAAATATACTCACGGGGAGATAAATCCCATTGAAATCAAAATTGCATTACTTCTGAGTAAACATACACAGAATTGTAGTATGCATTATGAAACCCTAGCTCTGATTTACAGACAGTGAAATCAGAAACAATTTCCATATAGTTCAAGTTATGTTTGGCTTAAGTTCCTCAGGGTACACAGGTAGTTCTGAAACCACAACTAAATCATGAATGTGTTAAAATCAAGTTTAAAACCAGAAGCGTGTCAAAATTCCACAGCAAGTCTTGAGCTGTAATCCGTAGCCAAGTATCTAATAAGCGGGTTGTAATGAAATCTGTTGAGAAAGGGAGTGGTATGTTAAGGTTACGAATGTGGAATCTGATGAAATGAAGGCACTTGGTGCAAAAACAAACGTGTTCAGACCAGAGCTTAGAAAAGTTTGTAGTTTTGGACAACTCCCAAAATCCCCCCATTCAGCAAAGCCACAGAGCTATAGAACTAGGCTGTAAGGCTGCATTCAACCTGAATCACAACAATATTCAGATTTTAAACACCTCCTGCTTGAAAGATCCATTAATTTAAGTGTACTGTTTCCAGTAATGTGAAGAATCACAGCCTTACTTGGATCTATGGCTTGGATCCAGATATCTGCTTAAGCTCATCAAAAGAGGTTGCAGGAACTCCGCTGAATTTTTTACTATCTTCCCATCTGTTACCGTTGTGAGCATTTTAAAAACTTCTACAGTACAAAAATGTTTGGTTTTTATTTATTTATTTATTTATTTATTTATACCCCCACCACCATCTCTCCAGATGGGACTCGAGGTGGCTTACATGAGGCCAAGCTCGGTAATACATTACAACAAAATAAATACAGAACAGCAAAAATAACATCACAATAAAATAAGTAGAACATAAGAATAAAACATAGCAATGCAAAATACAAAGAAAAATCAAACACAGTGTTTAATTTTTTGCCATAAAGCATTTATATGTATAGGAAGCACTGTTTGACAACTTTAAAGTCTCATAGAACTCATTTCATGGAATTGGCTCTAGACTGCTTCTGCTTAGAATAGAACTACTGGAATAAGTTGTGACTGAATTAAAGCAATGATTTCAGTAAATTTATTCTAATCAAGCTTCTCTGAATCCAATACGTAGATAGATGATGAATGGATCGCTTCAAAAAAGAGGGATAATGTATTTTGAGTAGAAACCAATGAGCAATTTCTTCTAAAGAAAGATTGCATGTAACTTCCAAACTCATTGGTATCAACTTTGTCCTGCAGAAGTTACAAGACCACAGCTAAAGAGAGTGCATGCTATCTTGGAAGAATCATAGAATCATAGAGTTGGAAGAGACCTCATGGGCCATCCCGTCCAACCCCCTGCCAAGAAGCAGGAAATTTGCATTCAAATCACCCCCAACAGATGGCCATCCAGCCTCTGTTTAAAGGCCTCCAAAGAAGGAGCCTCCACCACACTCTGGGGCAAAGAGTTCCACTGCTGAACAGCTCTCACAGTCAGGAAGTTCTTACTAATGTTCAAATGGAATCTCCTCTCTTGTAGTTTGAAGCCATTGTTCCGTGTCCTAGTCTCCAAGGCAGCAGAAAACAAACTTGCTCCCTCCTTCCTATGACTTTCCCTCACATATTTATACATGGTCATCATGTCTCCTCTCAGCCTCCTCTTCTGCAGGCTAAACATGCCCAGCTCTTTAAGCCACTCCTCATAGGGCTTGTTCTCCAGATTCTTGATCATTTTAGTCACCCTTCTCTGTATACACTCCAGCTTGTCAACATCTCCCTTAAATTGCAATGCCCAGAATTGGACACAGCATTCCAGGTGTGGTCTGACCAAGACAGAATAGAGGGGTAGTATGACTTCCTTGGATCTAGACACTATACTCCTATTGGTGCAGCCCAAAATCCCATTGGCTTTTTATCTGCCGCATGACAGAAGTGTCCTTCCTTCTCCTTTTATTTTTAATTTGAAAGGAAAAAGAAAATTGCAAGCTCATTACAGCTGTATGTTGAATGGAGATTCTGTGTGAATTGATTTTAAGTGGCTTCTTGTAATTAATTATTGTTTATTCCAGGTTGACATCAAGAAATGCCACTTGTTCATGCCCTGTGACACTGAAGATGGGCTGTGTCATCTATCTGGTATGGTTTCATAAGACAACTTTGTCCTTTGATAAATGTGAGAGTGAAGACTAGGTTCTTGGCTGCAATTCATTATGCAAGAGAGATCAAAAGTATGCCAGATACAACACTGATGTTTGTACTCAGCTTTGTTATGTAACAGCATATGAAACTTAGAAAAGTTATCTTTGTGAACCACAGATTTCAGAATCATTAGCTAGTCCAAAGGAGCCCCCGGTGGCACAACAGGTTAAACCACTGTGCTGCTGAACTTGCTGACTGAAAGGTAGGCGGTTCGAATCCGGGGTGCGGGGTGAGCTGTTAGCCCCAGCTTCTGCCAACCTAGCAGTTTGAAAACATGTAAATGTGAGTAGATCAATACATACCATTTCAGTGGGAAGGTAACGGTGTGTGAGAGAGTCATGCCGGTCACATGACCTTGAAGGTGTCTATGGACAATGCCAGCGCTTTGGCTTAGAAATGGAGATGAGCACCAGCCCTCAGAGTCAGACACAACTAGACTTAATGTCAAGGGGAAACTTTTACCTTTTCCTTAAAGTAGTCCAAAACCTACTGTCCTGGTTAGCTACCAGAAGGTTTCTGGGAGTTGTAGTTCACAAAGTAACCTTTCCAATCTAGATTGGAACTTGAAACTTGGAACTTGGAATAATGGACGAGGAGATCGGATTATGACTTTATTGATGAGATGTGATGGATTAGTTATATGGATGTATTGTTGTTATATTGATGTACTGATGTATTGTTATGTGATTTAGTTGCTCTAGTTACTGTTTTTAAATGCTAATGCTAATGTTGTGCACTTTGTATATTGACCTGGTTGTAAACCGCACTGAGTCGCCTACGGGCTGAGAGAGTGCGGTATACAAATAAAGTAAATAAATAAATAATAAATAAAATCTATTGATATTGGTAGATTCAGACAGCAGGCATGAGAAATTTTTCTAGGTGGATAGATACTCTGCCTCTCCCTGCTTGTACCAACCCTTGTCCCGGCTTCTGTGTGTTTGGATAGCAGCCTGGTGTGCGTGCACACTCCTAAACATTTTAACAACTGCATTCTTGATTGCCCCCTAGTGGCAATCTTTCATGAAACTATATTTTATTTTCTATTAACAAGTCTGGCAGGCCATTCTAGGGCAAAACAATTGGGTAGAAGGCAGTGTACCTGCAGTATACATTTACACCAGTTTCATGCCCCTTAAATGGAAATGGATCCTGTCCTAAGGAATCTCCCCCTCTCACTTTGAGGATTTATTTATTTATCGTGTCATCCGCAACCATACCATTGTATTACAATTCTAACAGAGCAAAACAAACACACAGATTAAAAAGTAAAAAAAAAACACACACACACACACACACAGATTTTGCAAACTTGGTAGTTGGTTAAATGTCCTTTGACTTTGAGGATGTAGGCCATTGTTAAATTCAGCTATATTTCAGGGGAACAATGTTATCCTCTTCAGACACAACAATTGTATCATGATGCAGTAATATTTTTGAAAACTGCTGCAGATTAAGTTTCGTTGATCTGTTTATTTTCTCTATGGTTATCAATAGTTAATAAGAAAAAGTGCCTGCAATGTTAAAAGGGGTCATCCAGAAAAACCATTTGGTTACAAAGCATAGTAGAGAAGCTTAACATCACAAACTTATACTTGGCTATTCACAAGTTAGTACTGTTATTCCCTATGGCAGTGGTTGTCAACCTGTGGGTCCCCAGAGGTTTTGGCCTTCAACTCCCAGAAATCCTAACAGCTGAGATTTCTGGGAGTTGTAGGCCAAAACATCTGGGGACCCACAGGTTGACAACCACTGCCCTATGGGTTTTTCTCCCACTTTTGGTGAAAAGACAACTCTACTTCAGTGTTCTTTGCAGAACTTGGAAAATGTACATTTTGGACTTCAATGCTGAATCTTCCCCAGCTATCCTAGCTGTTTGTCCCATTATTTTGAAGGGGTTTTAATATTGCTCTATATTAGGTGGGGAAATTGCAGCTCATAAATTGTCTGTACCTCCTTTTGGGCTTTTTTACAGATCCTCATCACTATCTAAAATCCACCAAATCCACCAAGAATTCCTCCAATGGGCAAAAAGCCACTAGTGGTATAAAATGCAAGGGACATCTTTCAACAATAACCCCCCCTCCCCAAATAAAACCCTCTCACAAAAACTTGTTGCAAACAGCTGAAAATAGAAGCAATATCACTTCTGGCCAATTTTCAGATAGATGAAAAAAAAATGGCCTGTTCCCTATGTCATATAATTTAGTGTCAGTAAAAATGTATCTCAGTAGATCTACTCACTGATTAAATACTTGTTCTCATTCCCTTTTGTTTGAACAGAGAGTAATAAGAAAAGAAAGAAAGTAATATCTTGGCCATTTCTGATGAGGCGCATCAGCACTGGACCAGAGACCTTGGGACAATTAGAATCGGATTTGAAGCCTTCTCTGTTTGACCAGCCATTGTCAATGGTTTGCAACGAGGAGGATATGCTGCCCAAACCAATACAGGTAAGCAAGCACTAGGTGACTCTTTTCACTTTGTACAGATGATGCCCATTGGTTCAGCTGATCAAAATCATCACAAAGCTAAACTTTTTACAAAAGAGGCAAATGTTTTGGGCTGTATATATTCCAGCAAACCAATTCAAACATGGGGGAAAAAACCCAATACCTTTTTGATTGTTTTGATTTTGGGAATTATTTCTAGAACATTAGGAGTGGTAAATAGGAAGACGATAAAGAATGCAATGCTTGAGGAAAATAATGTTTGAGAGAGGAAATAACCCAGGATGAGCACTTTGTTTTTCTGCTTTTTAAATAAAAGATGCAAATAAACAATTCCCTCTCTGATGGTGTTCCACCTGTGAGGTTCTTCTTTAGACAGGTATCTGACCTGTCTAGTTCATAATTTAGCTCCGATGACATAAATTAGTTTCTTTCTTGTTTTATCTACTGTTTTGCTTCCTGTGGTTTTTTTGAACTGTAACTGTTTATTATTGGTTTCTGTTGTATTTTAATGGTGCGTTGCACATTACTTTGAACACTGTGTTGAAAAGGTGGCATGTGCTTTTAAAAAAGTAAACTGTGTTTGGTTTTCAATAATTCTGTCAGTAAAATGAATTGTGTTGAATAATAATAATAATAATAATAATAATAATAATAATAATAATAATGTTATATTCTGCTCTATCTCCCCAAAGGGACTCAGAGCAGATTCCAAACATAAAAGGCAAATATTCAATGCCTGAATACAACAACAATACATCCATACTAACAAAATTTAAGCAACCCAACATATAAACACGAATTATGATTTAAAAACTAAAATTAAATAAAAAACACAGCCTGTTATAACTCTAAGACAAAACATCAAACATCGAATGGAAACAATAATTTCCCAGTTCCTTGGGGCAAATATCATTTCTTTTCTTCTCTGACATCTATAGGATATCCTTACAATACTCTTCCTGCAAGGTCCATACACTGAAGGAATATTTCGGAAGGCAGCAAATGAGAAGTTACGCAAAGAGCTGAAAGAAGAGTTAAACTCTGGAGGAAATGTTGCCTTTGAGAAGGCCTCTGTGCATTTGTTAGCAGTGGTTTTCAAGGTCGGTGTCCATTTATATGTATGTATTTGCATGTTTCCTTGTTTTCCCGCTGTAGGCACTGAGCTGGTCGCCTGAAGCTGAGTTAGCAGGAGACACAGCAGCAAGGTGTTGGTGGAGGGTATTACATGCTATATAGTTCACCCCTGGGCTTTGTAAGCTAGCTTACTGTCTTTGGATGTGGTATAGAATAGTCTTCAATTGCCAGAGCTGAAGAAGAGGCAATCAGCAATAGAGTTGGCTTTTGTGTATGAAGGAGGAGTTCTAGCTTGCTCTTCAACTGAACCAGCAAAATCTCTCTTGCCGGTCTTGTTTGTTTATACTGTAAAGACATAACTTTGTCTATGTGGTAGCAAAATATTTCACCTAAATGTTAAAGAAAGGCTTATTTCCTTGCAGGATTTCCTCAGGAACATTCCCCATAAACTCCTGCTAACTGAGCTTTATGATGACTGGATGACAGCAGTGGAGAAAATGGGCCATCGTGAAAAAACTGAAGCAATAAAAGAGTAAGTTGACCCATCTCAGAAATTGTATTGTTTTGTGACATACAGCAAAACTAGAAGTTGATTTCCCCGTCCCTTGCTCCAAATGTAAACTTTTCAGAAGGTTCTACAGAAATTGCTCTTGAGACTGAGATCGTCTGCCCACCTACCTAGAAGTGACCTTTACTGAAAGCCATGCGTTTTACTTCTGAGAAGAGAAATACAGGATTGGGATGTGTGTTCAGGGACCACAGCAAAAGCCCAATGTTAACAGGGGGAAAGAGTTTAAATTAATTATCTTATTAATAAGAGTGCTGATTTAAAGGACTTCAAGTGTGATATAAATAAAAGTACAGAATCATTTCTTATTTAAGCAATGTGTTTAGTCAAACATTTATCTAAACAAAAATATATTTGCCTAACAGCTAAAGGAAAGCAGAAAAGTAGCCAGTGTAGCTTCCCATAAGAAAAGAGAGAGGGCTTCTTCCTGGGTCCTCCATAGAAGTAGCTATGATGTTGGTACAACAAAGATAAAGTACCATATCAGTTGACACCTGGTCAGGACCTTTTGGTTTGTTGATTTCACTCAGCTGATATCTGGGGACTTTTGAATGGGATTTTTTTTTGTCTAACTGCTTTAAATAAATTTCCACATTTTAAAGGAAGTTTCATGTGACTGAAGCTTCACTTCAATAAAATGTGGAAGTTACTGAGGATGACCTTTATTTTTTGTTTTGTTTTTTTATTTCCATAGGGTTGTAAGCAAGCTACCAAGACCAAATCTTCTTTTGCTGAAACATTTGCTTTGTGTGCTGCATCACATAAGCAAAAGCTCAGAGATCAACAAAATGGATTCTAGCAATCTAGCCATCTGTTTTGGCCCAACCATGTTGACTTCAGATTATGACAGAAGTCTGCCTCTTGCAGCCCAGAAAGAGCAGACAGATAAGGTAAGATTGCTCTAATTTTTTTTACCTATAACTATATCATTCTTCTAAGCGACTTGTTGTAAAATTATCTCACATCAGCTTTGTCCTTACATTTGGAGTTTTATCCTAAGGGCTAATTCCTGAAAACTGAACCAATGCACTAGTCAAGAAAGTCATTCCTAAGACAGTTGTTTGATCTTTAGTCTCAGTGACTTTTGCCAGTTTTTAAAAATCTTTAATCTAAAATTTCTAGAGAGCAATGCTCTTTGAATCAGGGTAGCTTCAATTAATGCTTGAGATGTACTAGGATCAAGGAGGAGTGATAATACAATGGACTCATAGAGGATCTAGATCAGTGGTTCTAAACTTGTGGGTCCCCAGATGTTTTTGCCTGCAACTCCCAAAAATCCCAACAGCTGGTAAACTGGCTGGGATGTCTGGGAGATGTAGATAAAAACATCTGGGGACCCACAGGTTGAGAACCACTGGTCTAGATACAATCCCTGGCCTTTTCCAATTAATAGATCAAGTCCTGGTACTATGAAGAATGCTGTCAGAATATACAGGCTAGGCTAGAAAGACAAATATTCTGATGAGGTACAAACCAGCTTTATAGCTGTGCAGGAACAGATTCTTACCTACAAGACAGGCATGTGCATCCTATTAGAAATTGTAATTGTGTGGCCCATTCCATTACAGAGAAAAACCAGACCAAAAACACATTGGATAAAGAAATCTTGGTTATAGCTGTAGATAAGGGTGGCCTTGCACATGGATCCAAATTCAGGCATTAACTAATCTATCTGCTTGTCCAATCCAGTATCAGATCCAATAGGAATGTACTGAAAGGCCCTGCTGGGACATCCCAGCCGAGCCTCATAACCACCAAGGGGTGAGAAATACCTCCATGGGCTGGGACCCCTGGAAAACCAATGCCGATTACACTGGTCATTGAAGTCTGGATTGATAGCCCATGCTAAATGCCTCATAAAGTTTTAACAATTATAAATAATTAAAATGTCTTAACATAGGGAGTGTGGGTGGACTGAAGCTCAGAGTGAACTGCTTGCTTAGGGTTCCCCTTTTATGTAGCCTTACCCAACCGGTAGAAACTCATCCAGTGACCCAGGCAATGAATATGTGTCAGACTGCTTTCAAATTCACTGGCTGACTGTATGCTTCCTCACAATAACAAGTTGTATAGGCATAATAGTGGCTTGTTGGGAGGTGGTGTGGACAGAATTTGGAGGTTCTGCCATCTCCTGTCGTCATCCCTTCCCCCCGTCCTCAACCTAAAAGCTTCATTATTTCAATGAGCAGAGCATCTTTAAGTTCTGGTTTCAAAACCCCTCTTCAAAGGATGAATTCAAACTTTTAGCATAATTTGTTTCTTCCCGCATCAGCCCACTGGGCATGGAAGAAGCATTGTGGGGACAGAGGGGAAGGGAAACCAAGGATTAGAAGCCAAAAATGATGTGGTCCAACAAAATTTTGCCTCTGTTGTTGCCGAGTACTGGCTTTGACACTATCCACTGTTGTCCTATGATCCCTGGGAGATAACTCCAAAATGATTGCATAGCTTCAAGTGCTTGGAAAACTTACTTTTTGGGAGGTATCTTTCTTTTTTGGATGGGGAGGCAGGTTGTAGTGACTCTAGAGGTGCTCCATGGCTCACTGAATTGCCAGCTGTAGTGTAGTTTTATATGCAGGATTACTACATTGAATCATATAGGGTTGTAGCTGAAAATATAGTTAGCACTACTGATGCATCTGTTGTTTTCTTAACCAAAGAATGAGCCATATATAAGAAAGATCTGCCGAAATGACAGTGTGTTGTCAAAGGCTTTCATGGCCAGAATCACTGGGTTGCTGTGAGTTTTCGGGGCTGAATAGCCATGTTCCAGAAGCATTCCGTCCTGAAGTTTCACCCACATCTATGGCAGGCATCCTCAGAGGTTGTGAGGTTCCAACCTTTGAGGGTGTTTGCCAGAGATGTTGGTGAAATGTCAGGAGAGAATGCTTCTGAAACATGGCCATACAGTCCAGAAAACACATAGCAACCCAGAAATGACAGTGTTAATTGCAAAATGACCCCAGAAAAATGCCCAAGTAACAGTATCCTTGATTGATTTCAACAGGTAAAGACCCTAGTGGAGTTCCTCATTAACAATTGTTCTGATATATTTGGAGAAGAAATCTGCTTGATGTTCAGTAATTCTGTTGATGATTCCCTGGACAAATCAGGTATTTTAAAATATTTTGTTGTCGGGTCTCTCTAGCATTTGCTCAGATTGTTCTCAGAGTGCTCATCTTTCTCATAATGTGCAATGGTTTTTTTGAAAGTGCTACACTAAAAGATATGATTTGATCTTGCATTGTTGCTAGTTTATTTAGACATGTTCAAACTGCAAAGGAAGTGATTAAAGATAACGGACAAACCACAACATTGGATTGCTTTCAAATTCTAAAAGAGCTATTTCTTAGAGACTCACATGAAAGACAGATTAACACTCCAGTGAAGCTGCTGTCTCAAAGTGATACAGAAGCAGAATATATGCTTTGGAAATCCCTCACTGCTGGTGTAACTTTGTATTAGACACTTTTTTATGTCCAATACCATACAAAGTAATCCTAGATATGCAAGAAATACATCAAGAGATGGTTGCATATAGATAACAACATTGAGAACTTCCTTATAGTTGACTCCTTATCAGATTAGATTCCATGTTGAAGAACCTCTAGAATTCTATGGTCTTGTGGGAGGAAGCAAACTATATTAATATTAGCAGTCATGCATTTGCCCATTTTTGGAAAATCAAAACTTTCTTGTTCTGGAGTCTGGACATTGTGGAAGAATTTTTCATGTCAGGAGCAACTTGAGAAACTGCAAGTTGCTTCTGGTGTGAGAGAATTGGCCGTCTACAAGGACTTTGCCCAGGGGATGCCTGGATGTTTTGATGTTCTATCATCCCTGTGGGAGGCTTTTCTCGTGTCCCTGCATGGGAAGCTGGAGCTGACAGAGGGAGCTCATCCACACTCTCCCAGGATTTGAACCTCTGATCTGTCAGACTTCAGTCCTGCCAGCACAAGGGTTTAACCACTGCGCCACCGGGGGCTGTCAATTATAGGATTATGTAGTATCCATATTTTAGACACTTAAGACAAGTCAATATGTGTGTCTAGTATTTCTGAAAAGTAGATTGCACATAGAGATCACAAGTCTCATTCTTTGCTATTTATATATAATAATTAAATAAACTTACCTCTAAAGCGTGCATCCAGCTGCTTCAAACCTAAACAGTACAATTTTCTCTTTTCCAGAAATGCTATCTGCAAGCCAGTTACATGATTCTGCATATGACAGCACAGACCCTGAGGGAGAATGCAGCTCCAATGATCTCCAGCCTAACAATCTACCAAAAGCAAACATGGCAGCTAGCAGACCCAGCAGCAGAGAGTTATATCCCCAACGAGTACTAGAACAAACCTCCCCTGTCTCCTCCCTGACCCATTTTAAATTATCTATAAGCAAACTGGACAGAAGATACTCCGAACCAGACATGTTCTCTTCTAAAAGTTCTCGGGAAAACTGTGTGAGGGGTCAGAAGTTAACCAAAAGTGAGGAGAATGTTATTCAGCAAGAGGAATTGGGACTGAAATGTCAAAATTTGAGAATGCACATGATAGGGGAACCTCCTCTTCCGGGTCTCTATCGAACCAAAAAACCACTAAACCTTACTATCAAAGCCAGTTTGCACTCAGAACTGTCAAGTGGTTCCTTACCCAGAACATCCTCCAGCAGTTCACTAGACAGCCTCACCTCAGTCTCAGACAATTCAGTCTTCTCCAGCTCACCACTAGCATCACCTTCCCTCTTCAAGAATAATGCCCTGATTCAACCACAGTCCTTGTCTACCAATATTTCAGAAGGAAGTGGCACACACATCGGAGAGCTAAAGAAACATTCAGTGTCATTTTTGGCAACAACCCGCAGGAAACTAGTAACAAAAACGCAAAGTTGTAGCCTGGGTGGCTCTCAAAGGGACAGTTTCAAGACAGAGTCCAAAAAGGAGAGGCATCTTTCCTGCCGGATAGTCCAAGCAACTTACGTTGATAAATGCAAGCCAGTGGTACCTGTGGAATATCAACACAGGTCTCGTTTCATGTCAGCAGAGGAAGTGTTTCAATTTGTGGATCGGCGAAATCCTGGAAAGCCCCCATCTTATGAAGAGGCAACCAAAAACTGCACAGCTGCTAGACTTCCTTCCTATGGCAGTTTAGCAATTCAAGATACGAGACCTATCAAATCATTTCCAGATTCTGAGCCTCAACATTCAAGGCTTGACAAAGAGGTTACAAATAAAGTATATAAGGACTTTTTAAGCAGCAGACTTTCTGTGATCAATAATCCTAAGGACACTCCGCCAGCTGTTGATTTTGTCATTGGAATACATCCCCGGGCAAATATACCCCTCACTCCTCAAGTCTACCGTCTTAGGACCATGTCTGGTTCTTACCAAAAAAGCAAACAAGAATATTTGGTGCGACGGTGCAGTCAGCCAGCCTTTGACTGCATTCAGTGTGCAAAGGAGTCCTATGTTTAAGTTCATCTGTTCCACCAGTGATGTAAACACAAGTCTTCGACTGCCCTTAATACAGTATAAGTTTGTTTGTGTTTTTAAAAATGCCATTTTTAATTGTAATATGGAATGTGTATTGTCCAATTACAAATCTGTAAATCTTGTATATATGTATGTATCTAAGTTTATAAATTTGTGTGAATTTTTAAAAGGCATGCTTTAAAGATAAGCAAAAAGATTAGGAGAATCTATCCTGTTCTGCTAGACTTCTTACAAGATGTGATTTATTGCTTTCCATTGGAATACCTAGAGAGGACTACAGTCCTTATAGAAAGCAGTGTCTCTGCTTTAATATGTGTCAACAACCTTAAGATGTTATAGGTGCTTGTCGCCAAAGTTTCCCCAGCATATTGACCTTAGGATGTGTTGGACTACAAACATCATATCCTGAAAAAATATGGTAGAAATAATTAGTAGTCCAAGAAAATGTCAAATTGGGGAGATATGCTTTTAGCTCATATCATGTGTAGTGTTTGACCTTCATAAGAAGAACGGGATTAAAAGGTTGCAGAGTTTTTCTAGCTAAAACCACTTTTACTTATTTCTTAGCCAACTCAGATATGACATTAAACTGTAGAAACTCACTTCCTCTTTTTTATTTATTTTACTGCATATTTACCCTGCCTTGCACTATAAAATTTACTGCATTTTCATTCTCCCTGCACTATAAAATTGCACTCAGAACCCCTAAAAGCACATTAAAAACCAATTAGGCAATAAAACCAATAAAATCATCACAGTAGTCAAAACCATTAAAGTAGCCACAATAACTGATGAGCATGTATGGAATAACAGGGCCTAACAAAAAGAATTGGATTGAAACAAGGGCCAACTTAATTGAACTAAACCCTATTCAAGTTAGGCTGAACCTGGAAAGGAACAAGAAGAGAAAGCAATCTAGAAGGGCATGTACTGTTTGATACTCAAAAAGTTTGATACTAGACCAACCATTTTTTGATATTTTTGATCCCTGAGAACTACAGCAATAAATATCATTATCTCTCAATACATTGGACCTTCTGGAGACACTGACTGCAAACACTACCATAGGATTGCCCTGCCAATGGTAATAAGAAGTAGGTACTTAATTGCAAAAAGAATCTCCCAAACGCAATCTATAGTATTGAAATGGTGCTAAACTGCTTCATTTAAACCAGGGTCCTCAAACTTTAATTAGAGCGGTGGTTCATGGTCCCTCAGGCTATTGGAGGGCTGGACTATAGTTTGGGGGGGGATGGGGAAATGAACAAATTTATTTATTTATTTGCCGCATTTATATACCGCCTTTCTCAGCTCGAAGGCAATTCCTATGCACATTGTATGTATCTTATTTGTAGTGCAAAAACACATGAAAGAACAGTATTAAAAAAGGAAGAATAATTTAACCAACATAAATTTACCAGTATTTCAGTGGGGCATGTGGGTCTGCTTTTGGCTGAGATAGTCAAGTTAATTGGGATTGTTGTTGCTGTATTCCTTCAGGTCATTTCAGACTTAGGGCGATTATCAGTCAAAAGTTTAGGTCGGGGCTGGGTCTATGATCTTGGAGAGCTGTATCTGTCCCATGGACCTTAATTTGTGGATCCCTGATTTAAACAATCCCCACACACCATACATATACATTACTATATATGATCTGATGTACAGAGTAAACACATAGTGACCTTGGAAAAGTCACTCACATCATTTAAAACCGCGAGAAAATGATTAGTGTTAATGACTAGAAAACGTCCATAATTGTAGTAGATGGGAGAAGAAGTGTGTATTAAACATTCCTGGTCTGCCACAGCCTTCTCCCTGTTGATTGGGGTATGGAACTACATAGACCAGCAGACTTTGAGAAAATTGGGTTGAAGGATGTTGGCATAGAGTGTTTGAAGATGCACAGCAATACCCATTATGGTATGAATCAGAGGAATCTGACTGGATTAAAGTGGACACATGGTATCCATTTTACCCTTCCCCACCACCTCCTGTATCAAAATCCATGGATGTTCAAGCCCCACTGTATACAAAGACATAGTAGAATAGTGTCCCTTATACAAAATTGCAAAATCAAGGTTTGTCTTCTGGATTTAAGCAAGAAAGAATATTTTCAAGCCATGTTGGTTGAATCTGTGGACATGGGGGACAACTATACTCCATGTCAGGGTAAAGTATGTCTGACTGAAGGAGACTGAAAAATCTGCTTGGGTTTTCAGCCATGTAATGAAAGCTCAGAAAGAGAGAGGCGGGGGAGGAGGAAAGGAAAGGTAGACAGTGGTTTTTATCAGGATAAATGGAATGATCAATTACATCTAAGAAAGCAGCTACTACAGCTTCATATGAGTTAAAACATTACAGCAGGAAACTAAAAACCACACATGTTCTAAGCTTTCTGGGTTTTCTCCGAATTCTTTTGTCACTATCAATGTTTACTTCCCACCGCAGAAGCCAGAGGTTCTTTATCTTTCTTAAAGTTTCAGTGATATCCTCAGACAAAGTGATGTTTGTCAGTAGCTAAACAAGTTACTTTGGGGACAATTCCCATAATGTCATTCCAAGAATTCTGGGAGTTGTAGTACAAAAGGTAAATTTTCCAAACAGTTGATTTGGCTCACTTGCTTGCTTGTTTTGGAAAACCTTTGGGTGTTCAGTTCCAGTTTCTCATGCAAGCTTCCAGTTTCATGATCTCATGGACTTGCTGATTCTGCCAACAGAGACTGCCCTCTATGTTGTGCTTTATTGGTTCTCATCTGCCCATCAATTGCAACACTTTCCTCTGTTTCCCTGGGCTTTCAAAACAGATAACTATGGTTGCAACTGTGTTTCTGATTCATATCTTCTGTTCTGCACGTGTACAGATAGTTTTTGTTTCCTGCAGATGTAAATGAAACTACATTGCTTCCAAGATACAATTGTTTATTTGGCTTTCTCACCAGCAACTGGGAAAACAACATCTGAAAGAAATGGTTGTGTGGATAAAGTCCAAAAACTTTTTTAAAAGGAAAGATGGAAATTTTGGACACAAAACACCACCTCCATCCCATAGATAAAAGTGAGGACATGAAAGAAATTAAGAAATGTAGAACCCATTTTTTTAAAAAAAATGTTTAATATAACAATTGACAAGTGACTAAGGGCACATCTACACTGTAGAATTAATGTGGTTTGGCACCACTTTAATTTCCATGGCTCGGTACCAGGCATGGGCAAACTTTGGCCCTCCAGGTGTTTTGGATTTCAACTCCCACAATTCCCAACAGCCTACTGGCTGTTAGGAATTGAAGTCCAAAACACCTGGAGGGCCAAAGTTTGCTGCCCATGGCTTCTCAATTCGATGGAATCCTGGGGTTTATAGTGTGGTGAAACATCAGCACTCTTTAGCAAAGAAGGCTACAGATCTTGTAAAACTACCATTCCAATAAATTCTACAGTGTAGATGATCCCTTCATCCTCTGTTGACCTTTGGTCCTACCTGCTGGCTTCCTCTACCTCCTACTCTTGTTTATTGATCTTGCCTGTTGAATAAGTCCAAAGGCCTTCAATCCACCACAGTGTTCATACAGTACCAGTCAGGTAGTTAGCCCATTAGCAAAACATTAATGCAATTGATTTGTTCATTAATTTATATTCAATTAATGTATTCTGGTACCTGCTCTCTGCAGTTTCTACATAATCATGACCAGAGCACAGCCTGAATTGCTGGAGGGGGGTAGGGGGTGCTTGGATAAGATTATTTCAGTGCAACTCCTTCCTTAAGTATTGCCAATCTCTCCTAGATGCTAGGAATAGGTGAAACAGATCCATCTAGTTTGTGTCACTACTCAGGATCCTGCCAACGGCATATTTGTCATAACTGAAGTTTATTCCCATGTATGTACTTTTTCAGACTCAGTTGAAGGGGATGTCTACTCCTCATTCATGCAAGGTTCTGACTGCCCTGGAAAAAGAGCTTGGAGAGGCTACTAGGCACAGTGATCACCCAGCTACTGATTAACTATGGAGTTATAACTAGACTCTTTTTGATTACTACTGCACAGAGAGAAAGGAAATACAGTCAACTCTCAATATTTGCAGATTTCACTTTTGCAGATTTGATTACTAGGTCTCTCTATAAATCTTTAGGTTGTCCAGTGAACTCTAAGGTCAATACCTACCAGATGTTGCAGAGAAAACACTTCTTTAGGCATCTCTACATTCTCCAACACAATTATTGAAGGTTACAGAAAAGCGTTTTCTCCCCAAATATGGATTTTTCAACATTTTGTATCCCAAAAGGAATGCTTTAAAAACATTCCTTTTTAAAAGCAAAAATTGTGTGGGAACATTTAGAGGACTGTGACATTTGTAAGATAACTCTGTTCTGATCCATGGATTCATTTGTGTGGTTCAGTCACTTTATATCAGAAGTGTGCATCCTATTGTTAGTACCTACTAAAATATATCCATGGAACCTATAAAATATATATGAGTTGCTTACTGATCACCCAGTAGTTGATTCCGTGTAAATCCTGTAGATTCAGACCAGAATTTATTTATTTTTTTATTTACTGTATTTATAACCCACCCTTCTCACCCCGAAGGGGACTCAGAGTGGCCTTACAATAGACAACAATTTGATGCCATCCCAAACAATCATGATAAAATAAACATATACATTAAAAAATAAAATTAAAAAGCAATATAAAGATTAAAACCCATTTATTAAAACCACGCAATCAGAAATCATAGTCAAAGCCACTCCAGTCATTATTGCACATATTCCATCTTCACTTATTGCAATGCACTACTAGCCAAAGGCTTGGTCCCAGAGCCATGTTTTTACTTTCTTTCTCAAAATGAAGAGGGAAGAGGATGACTTTATTTTGCTGGGGAGGGAGTTCCATAGCCGAGGAGCAGCCACAGAGAAGGCACTGTCTTTGGTCCCCACCAACCGCACCTGTGAAGGAGGTGGAACTGAGAGCAGGGCGTCTCCAGATTATCTTAACCTTAATTTGCACACTGCATGCCTCCGAGTCTTACCCATCATCACTATTGTCACTCTATGTGCTTAGAGTTGGCAGGGACTATCCCCAATTAATTCACTCATCTACTTTGTCCTTGGCTTTCTTCAGATGCTGCAAGAAGTAGAGAGGTGGTTTGCACTCAGCAGAGTGGGAAAAAAGATAATGGAATCTTACTCTTTCCAACAGATTCAGGATAAAGCAAACAGCTGCATTACCTCCTACCCTTTATGTTATTACCCACTGACAACTTTTTCTAGCAGTAATATTGTTTGGCAACATGTACTCTGTAAAATGTTGATGGGCATGTAGTCATCAATTTGGCTACGGGAACCCTGTTAGGAAGTCATAAAGGCAACTGCACGCTCCAACTCCTGCTTCACGCAAGCAAGTCAGGGGGAAATTATATAGAGATGCTAATAAAGATTACAGTGACATCTTGTGGTGGAATCCTCAGTAGTTATTCTAACAAAATGTATGATATAGTCTGACTCTGTGCCATCTGCCCTTTATATCATATATAGTTGACAATCAAATAATGACGTTGGCATTTGTGTGTTTTTCTGGCAACCATACATTTCCAATGAGAGAGCCAAAGTAATATTTGAAAAATTAAAACAGTGTTGGAGAGTAATCTTTGGCAACAACAGAAAGAAATGCATATTTTTAAAAGAGACTTCTCTTATAAACATTTTGTGAGACAGTAAAGATGAGGAACATACGTACAGACATTGCTAGACCACAAATTTCATTATCCCAACACAAGCTAAACATTTCGCTAACTAAAATAACCATCATTTTTCTGTACTGTGGGCAATGTAACTTATGCATTTTGCTCTTGTACTTTAACTCTTAGTGCCATATTTGCACAAGTGGTAGTAGTAGTAGTAGTAATACTTCATTTATATTCTGCCCTTCTCCCTGTGAAGACTCAGAGCAGATTACAATATAAACAGATACCTGCAAACACAATAAGACACACAAACACAAACAAAAGTGGAGACTTCTCCTTTCATTTCCGGCTTTGGAGGAGGTGATCATCTCTAGCTCTGGGGGAGGTACTGTTCTCCATTTCCAAGCCGAGGAACCTGCATTGTCACCTCCTGGTCGTGTGACAGGCATGACTGCTTGGAGCATCTTATATCTTTCCCGCCTAAGCAGTACCTATTTATCTACTCACATTTGCATGTTTTTGAACTACTAGGTTGGCAGGGACTGGGGCTAACAGTGGGAGCTCACTTGTCCCACTGATTCAAACGGCCAACCTTCTGGTCCGCAGTTTAGCAGCACAAGGGTTTAACCATGAGTTTTGTTCTGACCAGATTGAGAAAGTTGTTTCATTGGTTGAAAAATGTGAATTAAAAACTACTTTTTAAAAACTAAGACAATGCCTGTCTAGGAATCTTTAGGTCTTCTAGCACAACTCCATGGTAAATTTCCAGCAGAAGTTAACTACAGAATCAAACTAGAAGATCTAGAGATTCCTAGAGAGATTGTGTTGATCAAATCTGCAAATACTAAACCTGGAAAAGTGGGGGTATGTTGTAAATAATGGTTTGAATGACATGGTTTCCATGCCTGTCTCAGGCATCAAAGTGGCTTACACCAACCTGATTTGAAGACCAATGGTTGTTTTTCTGCATTAGGTACTAAATGTCTTTTGTTGTCACTGCAATTTACTGGAGTCAATTAAGGCATGTTTGAAAAGGGAATCTTTGCTAGCTTTGCATAGAATTTTCAGGCTTAAGAATATGGATAGAGTTCAACCTGTGCAAAAGAACTGGTCAACCCAGAATCCGTTTATCTTGGCAACAAGATAGAATTCCAGAACACATAGCAACTGTTGACAGAGAGGATTGTTCTTCAATGCCACAGAGACTTTGCTAAGTCTATTGGAACCCAACGTGGCTAAGATCCAACATGACCTCAATTATTCTCAGCCAAGAAGGTCCTCCTGACCCTACTACCACATACTCTTACAGCAGTCGACCCAAAGTTGTGCCCATCAGAAAACGGTACCGAGCATCCACATTAGCCAAAGAGAGGTGAGTTGTGATGCCCAATTGTTTTCAATACTCATTGACTTTGCTTGGGCCAGCCCACACCAAATGACCTCTTCTAGTTTTTCCCTCCTGCCCTATCCTTCGGTCTGTTTTTGTTTTTCATAGAATCAGAAAGTTGGAAGAGGCCACAAGGGCCACCCAGTCCAACTCCATGCCATGCAGGAACACCAGGCTAAGCACTCCCAACAGTGGACTATCCAGCTTCTGTTTACAAACTTCCAGAGATGTGGCCATAGTGGCTGGTATATTCTAGCAGTTGCCATGCCAAAAGATTTTGTCATTTCTTGCTCCGCTGAAAATACAGGTTACCAAAGGTTCCCCTTCTTGCAACATTTCACTTGGCTTTTGTACATAAGTTGTCCTTGATATTGGGGTACATCTAGACATGTCATAAAGCAAGAAGGAAGATTTTCATAAGGAAATGACTGACAAGTCTAGTTGGGACTACCAATAAAATTTAGGTATTCTTGATAAATAAGCCCCTTTAGAAAAGGTTGCCTGAAAATTCTCCTCTTGAAACAGAATCTTAAAAGGTGGCAAATAAAGCAATAACTAACAATTTTCTACTATCCAATAGGATGGAGGTGTGTTAAATCCATTCATCCTGGGGTTGTGCTTCCTTACAGTTATTAAAGAAAACATCTATGGAAAAGGGAGTGAGCAAACATTCATTTCTTCTTTACTTTTCAGAGTAAAGTGCATTTATCTAGCGAATAGCCTTCATGTGTTTGTGTGTGTTATACATCTCACAGGGCAAACCTGGTGAAGCTAGAGCCATTGTACAGCCCTCATGTGACTACTAACCATTTTCTCGCCACTGAAAGACATGTCGTTGAGGGCTCAACATACTCGGCAGAAAATTGGTGTATTTTTGTACACAACAAAATAGGATTTTCCACACAATAACACTGAAATGTACTGTTTCCTGCACAAGGAATGCTGTTTCTTATACAGAAAATGCACTAGTTCGAAATTTCATACAACATTCATATTTTTGCACAGAAAATGAAATTTATAACTTCCCATGTTCTGTTATCAGTAAGCATAGAAGCTGTTCTCTATTGAGCAGCCTGGTAATATTCAGAGTATTCAGTTATGTTTTCTTTTTTTGTTGGGTGTCTTTAATAAAACATGATAAATAGCATTTTGAATTCTACTGTTTCCTTCCCTTTAATTTTATGTATTAAAGCGAAGAAGGCTCTGTTCGCTATGGGAACCTCATGTATGACCGCAGAGTGGTTCGAGGCAACACATACTCAATTCCTACATTACCTTGGGTGAGTTTTTCCTCCTCATATTCCTGTCTTTTTTAAATATAAGAAAACAAAAAAACCACACTGGCTAACATCTATGTTGGTGCCTTAAATGTTAGCCCTTTATCTGGGTATATTTGACCTGCCGATTCCAAAAATGGCACCTGTTTTCCTTATCAACTCTATTTTTGAGATACAGAATATATACCATCTACCAATCACAATCTGTTCACTCATAGAAAATTATAACTATATTTAAGAAACTAGAGCTGATGCGGTCTAGCCAATGCGATTCTCTTAATCAGTGCCCCAAATAACATCAAGAACAGGCCTAAAAACAAGACACCAAGAATATTTTTGTTGTTGTTGGAATGTGTACTCAATGGGAATAATTGTTACACACCTTTATGTTGATTCCAATTTATGGCAAACCTCTCACAGGGCTTTCTTGACATGGTTTATTCCAAAGACATTTGCCATTTTCTCCTCCTAAGGCCAAGAGAGTATGACTTGCCCAAGATCACCTAGCAGGTTTCCATGGCTGAGTGGCAAGTTGAACCTTGGTCTCCTGAAGTTTTGTTCGCAACAGTGAAACCATCACACCTTTCTGACTACTTTTGAAGTACTTTTATATTGTGGAAACATTTTGTAAGTTGTGTTCTGGGCCTCTAGGACCCATAAAGTGGGACATGTGTGATTTTAAAAATCCCAAATAGTTTTTCACACCTTTATCATGTAGATTGGAATATCACTTCAAATTAGCAGGGGAATTTCTCTCCCACTTTCCAGAGTCCTGAACCAGATCCTGCTGAGATTCAGAGGCGACGAGAAGCTCACAGGAAAATGCTTGCTAGAAGGCGAATAAAGGAAGAGAGTGAAGTACATGCTCCAGTAATTGAAGACGCTGGAAATCGTGTCAATGTGCAGACAGGTAGAGCACCAAAAACATATGTGAATGGTTCATTTCTAAATAAATAAATGATGAAATCCCTGCCTCATGATCAGTGCAGATTAAACGGAGAGGCTCCTATTGTTGAGAAGCAATGTAAACATGCAAAGATGTTGAAAAAAATAAATGAAAAGAATATTGCACAGACAAGAAATCATTGCTTAGATTAGTGGTTCTCAACCTGGAGTCCCCAGATGTTTTTGGCCAGTTTACCAGCTGTTAGAATTTCTGGGAGTTGAAGGCCAAAAAAATCTGGGGACCCCAGGTTGAGAACCACTGGTTTAGATTTTAGCTTTTCAACTAAAATATAATTTTTAAAGTGTGGAGCCAGAATCCAGTTGAGGACTTATGAATACATGAGCAATATAGATATGTTGCTGTGCAATGAATCTCATCTCAGTTCCTTCAATCTCCACTGCTGTCACTGACTGAAATTGCAACCACCATTGCAATCAATGGGGGTCTGTTCCCTCGGCAATTGGGGGGCAGCTAACTGATGTTCCCTTCAGCGGTATGACACACAGATGAAGAAACCAGTCATGGGTGTGTAACTCTTGTAACTGCCCAGCAGGATTCCAGCTATACCTTTCATTAATCCACTAACCATTCCTCAATGTGTCATTATTGCAGAATTATACCTGGAAGAAATTGCAGACCGCATCATTGAAACGGACATAGAGTGTCAAACAGATGCTTTTCTGATCAGAGCACCCAGCCCTCTTTTCATCCCATTGAAGACTGGGGCTGATGTAGCCACACAAATCGAAGAAGGAGAGGTGTGTAAGATTAGAATATTGAATTACATTCAGATAGCCAAACTCTTCTCCCTGCATATTTTGCTCTCTTAGATACTCCTAGAAGTTCAGACATTTATAAATGCCCTGTAATCATTACATCATAGCCTTGAATCACTACTGGATGAATCAAATAGCACGCGAGACAGTTTGGTTGCATCATGTATAGGTCTGAGATAACTCAGTTTAGAGGACTGTCAGGCCTTTCTAGCTGGAGAAACATATTTCAGCAGTGTTTGCAGGAGAATATTTGACTTTGTTTTTGGCTCTGAAGTCTCAGCAGTCATTTCCACCCATTCCCAGCTGTCACCAGACCCAACTAAAGGTCTTTATATGCATTTCAATTATGCAATGTTACTGTGCAATGGTGAGAAGATGGGACTGGAGGAAGAACTGATGTGGACATGCACTTAGGCCGACTGTGCCATTTGGAACAAGGCAGGAAAAAAATCCCAATATATTTGTAGTGAGCCGTCCATAACCCTCGGCAGCAGCATAAGGCCACCAGATGTGTGGGAGTGTAATGGAAGTAGGGAAGGCTGTGTGGGATGTAAAGCATAGTAAAAATGGTGGTATCTGGAGCAGCTACTGAGTACATTTGCTACTTCCAAGGGTGTCACAATTGTTTTTCTTCCTGGCCATGGGATGCAATGCTACCTGATTAGCTGGCTTTTACCTGAATTCTGGGCCAAATTTGCTTTTCGCAAGACGTTTTCCCAAAGGCTCATACTTCAGTTTGTTCTTTGGTGATTCCAAGACAATGTCTTAATGACAACTATTGTATGCCAAGTGATGGTATCATGTCCCTATAGCAGACATCACAAGCTACGCTAGAATTTCCCTCTTTGTCATCTGTAGTGTCATTAGGCACAGTAAAGCAACCACATCAGGCATCAAATGATGGGCATCAACTACAGCCAGCCCTGTCTAACCACATGGCATGCTCTGATTCTGGGTTGCATTTTAGATGTGGTGGAGAAAATCCTATCCTATAATCAATACTGATATAACATTTATCACTCATTCCAGTTATTTCATGAACATGGAATGGGCAAAAGGCATCATTTTGCATTTTACCTCTTTTGTATATGGATGTTGAATCATCATTTTATTTATTATTTATTTCACAGTTTTGTATACCGAGCTTCTCAACCTCGTCGAGGGACTCAGCCTGGTTTACAGCCATAAAAACATATACATTCATTAAAATATCATATATCACAAATTACAAAACAACTTTAAAAACACTAAATATAAAACTACAGTGGTCAGTCGTCCTAATAAGATCTAATCCAGGGTTGCCTCATGAGAAATTTCATTGTCAGACAGCACTGGCTTTCTTTCTATCCAGTTCTTGTTTCATGTTCAGGGAAAAACACATTTTCTATATCTGAACAATTCAAATGAAGCATCATATAGTTTTAAAAAACCTAAAATAATTATAGAATTAGACTTACTTACTTAGGCAATCCCTTGTAGGCCAGGGATGATGGTCCTCCAAGTATAGTGTCTGGATCCATAGGTGGCTGTGGAGCCCTATTCTTGATCTGCATGTTCTCCTGCAGTGAGGACATCAGTTTCCAGGTGGAAGACTGTCCCGGTCAGGGTTGGCTTGACACACCTTCCTCTTGGCACATTTCTCCCTTTTGCCATCCATTAATGCTTCTTCGAATTCAGCAGCACTGCTTGTCACAGCTGATCTCCAGTTAGAATGCTCAAGGACCAGGGCTTCCCAGTTCTCAGTGTCTATAGAATTAGAAGGCCTTAAACAAAACAAAAAATTAAATGGAGACAATGTAATTTAGAAATAGAATAACAGAAGATTGTTACAGAATACTGCAAAATAATAATTCTTATAGCATTTATCTAACACTTCTACTGTATATATATTATTTGAGCTATCCTTCCAACAAAAACTTGAAAGTAATGTACTACATCTGGCAATAAGTGTTACATTTTGAAATAGTAATGCTCTCACTCTTGTTACATTAAAAAAGTATGGTAGCAGCTACTGCTAGCAGTTTACTCTGGGTGTAACAAGTAATTCGGGAGCTTGTTTCCAAAAGGTACCAGATTAAAAAGAAAAAGAAAAATGAGTTACAGGTGGCAGCACATTTTGGTTAGAAGAAGAATATTATGTGTTGTTGTTCATTCGTTCAGTCGTCTCTGACTCTTCGTGACCTCATGGACCAGCCCACGCCAGAGCTCCCTGTCGGCCGTCACCACCCCCAGCTCCTTCAAGGTCAGTCCAGTCACTTCAAGGATGCCATCCATCCATCTTGCCCTTGATCGGCCCCTCTTCCTTTTGCCTTCCACTTTCCCCAGCATAATTGTCTTCTCTAGGCTTTGCTGTCTCCTCATGATGTGGCCAAAGTACTTCATCTTTGTCTCTAGTATCCTTCCCTCCAGTGAGCAGTCGGGCTTTATTTCCTGGAGGATGGACTGGTTGGATCTTCTCGCAGTCCAAGGCACTCTCAGCACTTTCCTCCAACACCACAGCTCAAAAGCATCGATCTTCATTCGCTCAGCCTTCCCTAAGGTCCAGCTCTCACATCCGTAGGTTACTACAGGGAATACCATGGCTTTGACTAGGCGGATCTTTGTTGCCAGTCTGATGTCTCTACTCTTTACTATTTTATCGAGACTGGGACATTGCTCTCCTCCCAAGAAGTAAGCGTCTTCTGATTTCCTGGCCACAGTCTGCATCTGCAGCTCCTCCCAAGAAGTAAGCGTCTTCTGATTTCCTGTCACAGCCTCCACATTTTCTCCCTCTATTTTCCAGTTGTCAATCATTCTTGTTGCCATAATCTTGGTTTTTTTGATGTTTAGCTGCAACCTGGCTTTTGCGCTTTCTTCTTTCACCTTGATTAGAAGGCTCCTCAGCTCCTCCTCGCTTTCGGCCATCAGAGTGGTGTCATCTGCATATCTGAGGTTGTTAATGTTTCTTCCAGCATTCATCAAGCCCCGCACATCCTCACATGATGTGTTCTGCATACAAGTTGAATAGGTTGGGTGAGAGTATGCAGCCTTGCCGTACGCCTTTCCCAATCTCGAACCAGTCTGTTGTTCCGTGGTCAGTTCTTACTGTTGCTACTTGGTCCTTGTACAGATTCCTCAGGAGAGAGACAAGGTGGCTTGGTATGCCCATCCCACCAAGAACTTGCCACAATTTATTATGATCCACACAGTCAAAGGCTTTAGAATAGTCAATGAAGCAGAAGTAGATGTTTTTCTGAAACTCCCTGCCTTTCTCCATTATCCAGCGGACATTGGCAATCTGGTCTCTCGTTCCTCTGCCTTTTCTAAACCCAGCTTGAACATCTGGCAACTCTCGCTCCATGTATTGCTGGAGTCTTCCTTGCAGGATCTTGAGCATTACCTTACTGGCATGAGAAATAAGGGCCACTGTACGGAAGTTTGAGCAGTCTTTCGCATTTCCCTTTTTTGGTATGGGGATATAAGTTGATTTTTTCCAGTCTGATGACCATTCTTGTGTTTTCCATATTTGCTGGCAAATGGTATGCATCACCTTGACAGCATCATCTTTTAAGATTTTAAACAGTTCAGCTGGGATCTCGTCGTCTCCTGCTGCCTTGTTGTTAGCAATGCTTCTTAAGGCCCATTCAACCTCACTCCTCAGGATGTCTGGTTCTAATTCATTCACCACACCGTCAAAACTATCCTCAATATTATTATCCTAGAATATTATGTATAGATTAAAATAACCAAAATATACCAAATCACTTCAGTACAGAACTTGGAAAATCACATTTTATAGCTAAAGGTATCAAATCCAGTTGTTTCATGCCAAAACGTATCAATTTACAATTTGTTTCCAAAAGGTACCAAATCCAAATTTATTTCTTGAATAATTCCATAATAAAGACTGGAATATCTTTGTGACACATGTAAAGATGATGTCTGGCATGGAAAGAATATATGAGCAAAGAATGAGCAAGGTCATTCTGATTGCATATCCTCAGCACTTTTTTCTGATTCCTATAAAATTGGTTCAGATGGGTTTGGTACTTTCTGGAAACAATTCCATAACTGTATTCTTTACTTCTAAGACTTTGCTTTTAGAAGCTAAATTGGTGATGTTTCGACTATTTACATCATTTTAAGTATATATTTAAAATAACTAAAAAATAGCCACATATTAATTCATTGGTAATGAAATAGACCACAAGTCAAACTTTTAATAGTTTTGAAAATGTTATCCCAATCCCTGACTTGTTATTTATAATAACCCCAATGTTATCAGCAAAAGGTTTATCTGTCATCCCATCTCATTTCGAAAAATAAAAGTCTTCTGCTCCACATCAGAAAACAAGATGCCAACTGCAGAGGGCCTAAACATCATCTGTTTTATCTTTTCAGCTCTTTGACTTTGACGTTGAAGTCAAACCAATGCTTGAAGTTTTGGTTGGAAAAACCATAGAGCAAGCTTTGATAGAAGTCTCAGAAGAAGAGGACCTGGCCAATCTTCAGGCACACCAGTATGCCTTTCAGGAACTCCGCAATGCAGAGATCGCTGAAATGCAGCGCCTTGAAGAGCAAGAGAAAAGACGCAAGGAAGAAAAGGTATAGCTAGGCACCTGTCTATTGACAAAATATTCCTGGGTGAATCCTCCCAACAAAGGATTCCCCCAGGTAGGAAGCAGCCAGGCTTTGGAGCTGCGAGGCTATTCAATGTTAATCAAGGTGGCCAATTGCAACTTTCACTCTTGCCTCTAACAGACAAGAGTTCTTTCTCCCACCCTAGACATTCCACAGATATATAAACATCACTCGCCTAGTTTCCAACAGACCTTGCAGCCTCTGAGGATGCCTGCCATAGATGTGGGAGAAACGTCAGGAGAGAATGTTTCTGGAACATGGCCATACAGCTCGGAAAACTCACAGCAACCCAGCAATTCCGGCCATGAAAGTCTTCAACAACAACCCATTATTCCAGCTGTAATTCAAAGTGTTACAAAGCTGCTCCAAATTCCTACTTTTAGCACCAAATCTATTTGTAATACACCACACTGATATTATATTGATGGCCATTCATTTCTTCTTCCCAAATTCAGATGAGAAGCACATTTTTCTCTTCTTAGTGTAACCCCACCCCACCCCCAGCTGAGCCTAGCCATGAATGAGACCAGTGGTGAGGGGATAGTGAGCCTTCACCACAAAAAAGGCAAAAGAGTGCTTTTGTCCTCTCATTGTGGATATGTGATTTTTAAGATAAGGCAGAAGAGGTACTTTGTCAATGAGGAGGAATCGTTGTCTAGGATGGGCACAGTGTGGAATGAAGTGCTATACAGTAGGCCTCCATATACACAAGTTCTATACTTATAGATTCAACCAACCACAGCTCAAAAATATTCTGGAGGGAAAATGCAAATTACAAATGCGTTTTGCTGTCCTATGAACACTATGCTGATGTGTTGGCATACCCTGCTGCAGCCTCCCAGTATTTCACAGCTCCTCAGTCTCTCTCTGGAAGCATTTGAGTTGTTTATTATTTAATACAAGTGTATTTTTACAATGCCACTGTATATATGGAACTTGAGCACCAATAGTTTTAGCTACCCAGGGGGATCCTGGAACCAAACATTGGGTTGGGGGGGGGGGTCACAATCACTTCACAAACCAAACATCATCCAAAATAAATCACAAAATCATTTTGTTGAATTTTAATTGATCCTAATAAAAGCAGTCCCTACATGTGCTTTAACACTTATGTTTTTCCACAAAGAAGTGGATCTGGAGCTTTGTTTAGAAGTCCAACATATGAATAGTATTGAAGTCATATCTAGTTTCATCCATTTTGAAAATGAAGAGCTGCAGAAAGACAAAACAAAGGTAGCAACATGGAAAGCATGGGTGGAGGGACGGGAAGACATACTAGGGGTGATGCTGTACTCTCCTGGCCCTCTAGAAACAATTATTGCTCATCACAGGTTACTAAGATACCACTTCATGATGAATGTCCCATGTCACTCTAACACATGTCAAGAAGAGACAGCTTTGGCATTAACAAAAGAGGAATTCTTGACCAAACATGGTAGGATCAAACACCAAAATCAGTGCCAGTCTGTATATATTTTTTGCTTAATCAAAGAAATTAAATAATTGGTTTGAGGATGTCATCTCCAAAGACACCGTGAAGTTCTCAGCAGCTTTCTTTTTTGTATACATATTTTTCAGACTTACTTGATAGCCCTCAAATATTTCTTTAAATATCACACAGACTGAGATGTGATCTGATTTCATAGCTAATTCATAATAATGAATTACAAAGAAATTATTTGTAATTCCTTTCTCTTAATTCAAAATCCTCTTTGTGGTTTTAAAGACTCCCAGCTTCTTTTTGTGGACAATGGGGAAATGTCTACCTATCTCACCAATGTGACAGTTGTCTTTCATTATTACTTAAAGCTTCGTCGTATGCGGCAGCAGTTGGAAGAGCAGAAAAAGCAGTCTGAGGTTGCGGAAAGAATTGCTGCTCGGATATTTGCTCTGCAGTACTTGGCAAACCTCATTCCTTCAGTCCTGACTAATCTTCAGAATAAGGGATTCTTCTACGATGACATCCAAAGAGGTATGTAACACACAAGTTTTTATCTACAGGTATTGAGACCTTTACTTTCCGCCCCCTCAATATCCCATATTGGAGACGGAGTCAAATGCTTCTTTTCAGTTGATGACATATAAAATATAAAGGTCCTATGGGTTTTTTAAATAACGTATTTATCAGAGAGTTCAAAACCAAGCAGTGATCTATAGCTGATTTGCCTGTGTAAATCTAGGTTGTTCTTTTCACAAAATATTCTCCTTCTCCATCCAGTCAATTCATGTATTCCACAGACATTTTGTGCACAGCTTATTAATTGTAATACTGGAACTATTTTGCCAGATGATTTTGGGGATATGTCTCAGAGCCCTTCTATACTACCATATAAAATCCAGATGAACTGCTTTGAATTTGATTATATGGCAGTGTAGACTCATATAGTCCAGTTCAAAGCAGATAATGTGGATTTGATAATCTGGATTATATGACAATGTAGAAGGGGCCTCAGAGATTTACTCTGTTACATCAGTGAATGTGATTTGAAGCTGTTATATCTTTTGATATGTACTATACTTTTAAAAATAGCAATGGTAATTAGCTTGTTGCAAATAAAAGTTTACTTAACTCTAGACTTTATTATGAACTTTAAAGGAGATACTTAAACTGCTGGATCTATTTTAGCGGTAAGCTTCTGTACTTTGGATAACTCTGTATCTCTTGATGGGTTTATGCTGCTGTACTTTTGGGAGAGCTGACTTTGGAATAGAAGTTCGACATTCATCACAAAGATTTTCTGTTGAGCTTTGTTCCCTCCTTACATTTCTGGGTAGTAGATTGGTCATTTCTTCATTCTTTCAGGAATATAGTGCTAAAGTGGAATGATATCTTAGCATCGTGACTATATCAATTTTTAAATAAATGTACAAGACAGAGAACATGAATTTTGAGGGGAATTGCTGAATTTTTTATATGGAGGGAAACCACATCCATGCTAGAGTTTAACAACACCGCATGGAGGTTTTCTGCTGATCTTAGATCCTTCATGAGATTTCCAATTGAAATTTTTCTCCCCTTTCTTTTGCAGTTATAATGCTCAAGTAGTACAGATTTATAACTTTAGTGTTATGACTATAAGGAAAATGTAAAAAAATTCAATACTTAAGACAGGAAACATGGATACGGGGGGAGGATCATAGGTGGAGATGCTGAATTCAGGGAAGGAATGCAGAGGAATGAAGGGAAGCAACACACACATCTAAGTTTAGTCACATCTCAATTGGGAACAAAGAACAGCTGAAAATAAATGTTCAGACTGAGGATAGCACTAAAATTGTTCACAAACCAGGGCCAAGACCACAGTACTGTACACTTGGGGCCTGACTGGATGCAAAAAGTGAAAACAACTATTAAAAACTGTGAAATCCTGAAACAGAAAGCCTCAACATTTATCAGAAGGAAACTTTAAGTACTAGGGCTCTCTGGTTGCTAATTCTGGATGTCACTTCCTAAATTACCAAGTGTCAGAACTTCATAGCATGTTGCCATAGCAGTTAAAATGAAACCATAGTGAGATAATTGTGCAATGTGGTAGAGTCCAAAGATTTGTTGGACGATTCAGCTGAAGCAGATGAATTAAAGAAAATGAGGGGTGGAATGATGTCCACTGTATTCCTATCCAGGATTGCTTGCGAGAAGCAGTCTCTTCGATCGGGTTTACTGCATAAGTGCTGAGGATTTATATTACTTATGGTCATACCTATAGTACTATGTATAGTGTGTACACATATAGAGAGAGGGGAGGAGAGGGAGAAAAAGAGAGGGAGATTCTTAAAGTGTTTTATTGGAAATTGGAATAATTTTCCGTAAAAAGTGACATGAATAAAAATATATATAACACATGTTTTGCTCTCTTGCATCATTACAGAGGTTGAGGAAGATTTCCTTCCATACCTGATGAACAATGTAGAACAAAGAATGGACAGTCGGCTTCTAGGAAGAATCATGACAGACTGTAAGTTAATAAGAATGAGATATCAAAGAATGTCATGTTCTCTTTTTGAAATTATTCCTGTAACAAGAGTTTGGAAAAGTAACATTTTAGGACTACAGTCTCCAGAATCCTCAAAACATCATGGACACTAGCCATAGCTACTGGGAGATTCATAGAATCAGAGAGTTGGAAGAGACCTTGTGGACCATCCAGTCCAACCGCCTGCCAAGAAGCAAGAAGATCACATTCAAAGCACCCCCGACAGATGGTCATGAAGCCTCTGTTCTATTAAATCTCCTTTCCTGTAGTTTGAAGCCACTGCTCCGCATCCTACTCCCCAGGGCAGCAGAAAACAAGCTTGCTCTCTCCTCCCTATGACTTCCCTTCACATATTTATATATGGCCATCACGTATCCTCTCAGCCTTCTCTTCTGCAGGCTAAAGATGCCCAGCTCTTTAAGCCGCTGCTCACAGGGCTTGTTCTCCAGAGCCTTGATCATTTTATTCACCCTCCTCTGGACATATTCGAGATTCTGGAAGCCATAACTTACAGAAGTAACTTTCCTAGACTTCGACTATAACATACAAAGTTGTCAGTAAGCACCATTGATTTTGTTGAGACACTGAGAAAAGTGCATTAAAAACTAACCACATAATAATTTCTGTGCTTTCATTTGGCTGTGAATCTTTTTGTAAACTGTGGTTGAATATTGTTTTTAGAAAGAGAACATGCAAATATCTTCATTTCTTAAATGCAGAAGAGCTGTTTTATTCTGATGAATTTATTTAAAATGCAACCCCTTCTTGCCCATTCTCTCTGTTAGATTACTGTCATGTACAGAGGGAAAAACCATTGCTTGTACAGTGATTACCATGTATTTTCATAGTACCTTTACAAGTCCAGAAATGGCACTCAACATCCATCAAGTCACCTTTGTACAGTTCCATTGTACTGTATAACATTTCTGCAAACTTTTTCCAACCACTGGGTGTTAAGGAGTTCAATAAGCAGCCAATTATGCTGGTGGATTTAAAGAGTTTATATTTATTGTTTCTTTCTCCTATAAAGTAAAGGTTTCCCCTTGAAGTTAAGTCTAGTCATGTCTGACTCTAAGCCGCAGAGCCAGCATTGTCCATAGACACCTCCAAGATCAGGTAGCCAGCATGACTGTATGGAGTGTCGTTACCTTCCCACAGAAGCAGTACCTATTGATATACTCACATTTGCATGTTTTTGAACTGCTAGGTTGACAGAAGCTGGGGCTAACAGCGGGAGCTCATCCTGCTCTCCAAATTCGAATTACCAACCTTTCAGTCAGCAGGTTCAGCAGCTAAGCGGTTTAACTCCCTGCACCACCAGGGAGCCCTCTTTCTCCTTCAACCCTACAAAAATAGCTCTCAGCTTCTTTCACCTGTCGTTTGTGTGGCAATTATTACCCATGCACATTCTATCAATTAAAAATCCCCAATTTGCTTGCAAAGGAGGCATGTTATGCATTAAAATGTAATCAAATACAACTTGCTTTGCTAGATGTAGTTTAGAAGAGACTATCTAACACAAAGTACTACTATTTCAGGTTTAATAAATGAGGTCGCTGGAAACAGGGTGGATGATTTTGCTAGTCAAGAGTTGGCACGGAAAGAGAAAAGCTGGCGGGAGAAACAATTTGCTGGATTCCACAGACCTAGTCACAGAAGACGCTCCAGTAATCCATAAACCAGGTTGTCTCAAGACCATTCCTTGCCCAGAAAATCAGGTAACAGACAAAAACAATTATCTCTCTCCAAAAAACATGCATTTTCAATCATGTATAATCACAAACCCATTGGAGGCATCACACTGTTTAAGCAGCAATTCTAACATGCTGGTATGAACATAAATGCCAAGTAGTCATAACATTTGCAGAGCAGTAAGGCTGGTTTGGAAGTGGTCATAGCTCTTTGTCAAATGGAATTGTACCCTTGCAAAGTAGGTCTTCAAATTTGTAAACCCCCCCCCCAAAATAACTATCCCATAATGTGCATGGTAGTGGATGCTATTGACAATGGACTCCTCCAGGTGAGGTGTGCATGTAAGGACGTTCTTGTATTTATTGATATCTTGAGGGTTTTTTTTAAAGAAATTTCAAAATGACGTTTCTGCTGTCCTGGATTATTTTCTGGCAATTCCTGGTCCCAACTTCAACTTTTTGTTCCAGTTCTCAAAAGGGTATCATTTTAATTCCAAGACATTTCAAAACAAAAGTGACTCTATCTCTTGTCCTATTTTATTTCCTTAAAGTTATCATTAAATTGGTACCTTTGCACTAAAGCACTGTAACTATTTTTTTAAAGTAAAAGAAAGAAAGGAGAAGAAAATGTGCCCTTCAGACACCTCGCCAATGCATGTCCCCAGTTTCTAAAAACTCTTTGGAAGAGACATAACATATGTATTGTCGAAGGCTTTCATGGCCAGAATCACTGGGTTGTTGTAGGTTTTTCAGGGTATATGGCTATATTCTTCTAGAACATGTCCATATAGCCCGAAAAACCTACAACAACCCAGACATAGCATACATGCAAGATACTGTTACAAACACTTGCTCCTCCCCCCACCCAAAAAAAGATGCAAAAGTGAATGCAGAAGTGACAACAAACAAAACTCAGCAAGCTACTTTGCTAAAATTCATACTTCTATAGACTGGTTTGAAATTTTCCATGGCTGATTGACAGATTCTTTTTATATCTTTCTCTTTCCTTCTTCCTGCCTTCTTCTCAAACGCATGCACACAGCACATTATAGTCTTTTGATGATGTGCAAAAAATGGAAAGTGATAGGATGAAAGCATACAAGCAAACAAATCTACATGGAATGTATGTCTGTGTGGACATACATTACACAACATACAAAGACACAGTGCCCTATTTAGGAGCCGGGGTGGCACAATGACACAGTCCCCTATATAGGAACTGCGGTGATTTAACCCTTGTGCTGGCTGAACTGAGACATGAGAGAAGCCTCCCACAGGATGGTAAAACATCAAACATCTGAGCATCCCCTGGGCAATGTCCTTGCAGACAGCCAATTCTCTCACACCAGAAGCAACTTGCAATTTCTTAAGAAAACAAACTCGACTCGGATCTACACGCATTATTTGCTGATACATCACACAGTCCTAGACACTTGGGAAGTATCCGACATGTGATCAAATACAAATGCCAGCATAGTGATTTTGTTTGCTGCATACTACTCTTGTTATGCATAACAACAATAACAACAATAACAACAAAAACAACAACAACTTTATTCTTATACCCTTCCACCATCTCCCCGGAGGGACTTGGGGCAGCTTACATGGGGACCAAGCTGAACATAGGCGAAATTACAAAGTAAACTCAATTAAAAACATATACCAGATAAACACCATAATTAAAATTATTAAAAAACAAAAAAATAAAAACATCAAAAATACATCAACCAACATCAACAAACATTACAACAAATAAGCATCACAAAACTAAAATTAAGTCAAATACACAATCAAAGCACTCCCAAAAGATGGCCAGCGCCTTAGAAAACGCAGGGCTATGCTACAAGAAACCACACTTTTTTAGACCAATCTGCAAGAACCATCTCAAAAATACACTAAAATAACCCCACTGATGTTCCAACGTGTGTTACCACTAGATGTCAGTGATACCATTAGAAACAAAAACCATTCAGCTATTAGTGAATTCCTTCTTCTTACACACATTGGCTGGCCAACATACCCTGGTTGAAGTCATTAACAGCAGAGACCTACAATTATTCACTCAGTGGCAGCTGGAAGCCTCAGGGGCAGCGAGAGACAGGGAATCTGCTCCAGGTTCTAATCTAATCCAAATTTTAAGGAAACTATTGGGTTGTTCAGGTAAGGTTTAGACTAAAATCTGGAGTAGTCTCATCATCCCACTGACCTTGGAGCCACCAAATTCCACTTTGTGGACATATGCAAAGGTGGTGTCATGGAAAGCAATGATGGTACCATATTGCAGATTTATCTGAACTAAATTATGTTCAGTTGTCCTTCCAGCTTAGTGATAAGGCTAAGGATTGCATTGCTTAACTTCAGTTGTAGTCCACACAATACTGCCAAAATGACACTTTAGGTTATGTGCGTTTCTTTCAAACAGTTGTTGTGATATACAAATTTGAGAGCTGGACGAGGACACTAGGACACCAGGGTTCAAATTCCTGCTCAGCCAAGAAGGCCCCCTAGGTGACCTTGGGCAAGTCGCATTCTCTGCTCCTCAGAGGAAGGCAAAGGCAAACCCCCTCTGAATAAATATCGTCAAGAAAACAGAGTTACTGTTAGAAATGCCTTGAAGGAACTCAAGAATAACATTTATTTCACAGTAATTCTAAACAACCTTTATAATCAAAATCAAGGTCAGACTCCCTGCTAGAGTATAATTTGTGTAATTATCCCCCAAATCCTATGTCTAACCTTCACCTTTTGTGTTTAAAACCATTCTATCTGTCTAAATTGTTAGTCTTAAAATAATTTTTAAGGACTGTAGTCAATTTTTTTTAAAGTTTTCTGTGTTCTGTAAATGAGTTTACTTGTTGCACATCATCTCAGGAACTTTAGCAGATTGGCAGGGCTTTTTTCGTGTCAGGAGCAACTTGAGAAAGTCTGCAAGTCACTTCTGGTGTGAGAGAATTGGCCATCTGCAAGGACATTTCCCAGCGGACACCTGGATGTTTAACCATCCTTTGGGAGGCTTCTCTCATGTCCCCACATGAGAAGCTGGAGCTGACAGACAGGAGCTCACCCTGCTCCCCATATTCAAACCTCCAACCTTTCGGTCAACAGTCCTGCTGACATAAGGGTTTGGCCCATTGCATCACCGGGGGCTCCGATTGGCAGGTGAGACAAACAAATTAAATGGAAATCACAGCCTTCCCCTGCACACAGACACACACACACCATTTAGAGAATGAGTCCGCTTACTCAGCAGCTCATTCTGGACACTGTGAAATGACAGCAGATTGTTTGCTACTTGCTTTCTAGTGAATCTGTACTTTTTCATTGCTGTGTTTGTTACGACTATTTGCAGTCACAGGGAAGAGATACTTGTGAGATTTCATGGCTCAGTATGACATTAACTTAAGTTGGCATTGCATGCTATGTACTTTGACTTGGATGACTACTAGAGTCAGCAAAATGTCTTATGCTTGCCCTGATGGATTGGTAGGACGTCCTAGTAAAATAAAAATAAAAAAGTTAAGCGAGAAGCTGTTATTGTTATATTGTTATATATATACCTAGCATTCTTCTTTCAATCAGGTGG